TATCAGAGCCACATGTATCTCAGAAACCTTGGGTTGATGATCACTCCTCTTGATGCTGAGTCCCATTTGGTGCCATGTTTGAAGACATTTGAATGGCTAGCATATCTTCCTTTGTATGGCCTGTAAACTAAGCATTTCTCCCACATGTGACCACTTTAATCCCACCATTAATCTTGGCCCGTCCACATTTAGGGTGAAGAGATTTTATCCCAGAACTCCCAGGAAAGCAGAGCAGATGAGAGTGAGGATGACACATCATCCCAGGTCTCCAAGAGCAAAGCAACTGAGGTATCTCTGCACAAGGCACCTGCGTGGCATTGATGTTGCACTTCCTTAATTACTCTGAGTTGGTAAAGTGCGGTTGTTTCCCTGTTTCTGTTTACATTCAAAGGCTTCTGTGCCTCTCTCCATCTCCTTCCCCAAAAAAAGCTTCTGTGCTTCTATGAGTTCTGTGGGGCCAGGAAACCCCCCCAATTAAATCATTCTCGAGTGTCTCAAGTTGTGGCATGTGTTACAGAGTTGAAAATTCCCTTCCATTATAACCTATTTTCCCTTAATTCAAGTCTAAAATCATTTTAGAAGGGAGAAAGGACAGAATGTTCTGTGAATAATGAGAAGATTGAGTTAAATCATTTAAATGTTGTTTTACTATATAAAATAGAAATGTGAATACATTTGGTAGAAGCACAGAATAAAAAACTGCCACTACTGAGGACTAAAATAAAAGTAGAGGACCTTATTCTTTTCTGGGTTACTACAGATATTTGGGGGGGAGGGGGGGGAATTTTTTTTATTTCAGAGAGGAAGGAGAAAGAGAGAAAAAAAACATCAATGATGAGAGAGAATCATCGATCAACTGCCTCCTACACACTCTACACTGGCAGTCAAGCCACAACCTGGACATATGCCCTGACCCACACTAGCATAATACAGATACTTCTAAAACTTTAAAGAAAGCTAGAGAAAAAGAAATCCTATATAATAAAAGGCTAATATGTAAATTAACCAAATGGCAGAATGACTGGTTGCTATGATGCACACTGACCACCAGGGAGCAGATGCTTGACATAGGATCTGCCCCTGTGGTGGTCAGTGCGCTCCCTCAGGGGTAGCACCGCTCAGCAGAAGCCAGACTCACAGCTGGTTACGGTGGCAGTGGCAGTGGCCTAAGCCGTCAGACATCCCCCAAGGGCTCCCAGACTGCGAGAGGGCGCAGGCCAGACTGAGGTCCTCCCCCCCGTGTGCACAAATTTCAAGTACCAAACCTCTAGTCTATATATATACCGGAAAATATATATATATTTAAATATGCCTAAGTGACTGGCCAATAGCTTTGATGTGCACTGACCACCAGGGGGCAGGCACTCAATGCAGGAGCTGTCCCTGGTGGTGAGTGCGCTCCCACAGTGGCGGTACCATTCAGCTGGCGTGTGCAGCTGTGAGCCTCTCCCACAGACACTCCCCCTGTGCATCCGAGTAGTTGCGGCAGCAGGTGCAATGGGGCTAGGATAAGTGGGAACAGCGAGGCACCCAGCCTGGGCTCCGGCTCCTCCCGGGCTGCCTGCCGCTTCCTGCACTACTTTGTACTGTGCGGGATCAACGCGGACAGCAGGCCGGAGCCTACAAGCTGGTGAGTAAGCCCGGGCTATGGCTGCACGGAGGTCCACTGATCCCCAGACCAGGCTAAGGGACCATACTGGTACACGGATTTAGTATGTTTATAGTACAATTCAGCTGAGTTATAGACACCAAAAAACTCGGATTTAAGAACCCTTGTTATGGAATCTTAATAATGCAATTTGAGGCTGCTACAGAAAGATCATCTAGTATAAAAAATTATTATATGGTCCTGTGACCTCTCTACCTTTTTCTCATAAAAAAAAATTGAGACAGACAATATCCTATTTCTCCTAACATCCCTCCCAAATTAGAGTTACAGGTCAGAGAAAATTTGATGCTGGATTACTGTTGTGGTATACCAGATTTTTATTTTACAAATTTTTTCTTCTTTTTTTAATCCTTACCTGAGGATATTTTTTCCATTGATTTTTAAAAAAATTATATTTTCATTGCTTTCAGAGAGGAAGGGAGAGGGAGATAGAAACATCGATGACAAGAGAGAATCATTGATCGGCTGCCTCCTATATGCCCCTATTGGGGATTGAGCCCACAACCCGAGCATGTGCCCCTGACTGGAATGGAACCTGGGACACTTCAGTCCACACTTTTTTGACACTTTATTCACTGAGCCAAACCACGCTTCATTCATTTTTTTAGAGCGAGTGAAAGGGAGGAAAGGGTGATGGAGGGGAGAGAGAGAAAAATGTATGTGAGAGAGACACATTGACTGGTTCCCTCCAACACATGCCCTACAACCGGCAGTGATCTAGCCTACAACCGAGGGGCAGTGATCTAGCCTACAACCGAGGTACATACTCTTGGCCAGGAATTGAACCCTCGAGCCTGCTATCATGGGCTGTTGGTCTCTAACCACTGACCCAACTGGCCAGGGCCAGGATTTAAAAAAAATTTTTTCTTCAGGTTTTTAATAGATTTCAGAGAGGAAGGGAGGAGTAGAGAGAGAAAGAAACATCAAAGATGAGAATCATTGATTAGCTATTTCCCTTAGGTCCCCCACTCAGGATCAAGCCTGCAACCCAAGCATGTGCCCTGACGGAATCAAACTGTGACCTCCTGGTTCATAGGTCGACCCCCACACTGAGCCACCCCGGTTGGGCCAGAATTTTTAATTTTAACAAACATTCTGTTCTGTATTAAACTAGAGGCCCAGCTGAAACCGGTTTGGCTTAGTGGATAGAGCATCAGGCTGCAGACTGAAGGGTCCCAGGTTTGATTCAAGTCAAGGGCATGTACTTTGATTGCGGGCACATCCCCAGTGGGAGGTTTGCAGGAGGCAGCTGATCGATGTCTCTCTCATCGATGTTTCCAACTCTATTTCTCTCCCTTCCTCTGTTTAAAAAAATCAATAAAATATGTTAAAAAACATAAATATATATATATATATTTTTAAAAAATATATAAATAAATAATAAACTAGAGGCCCAGTGCACAAAATTCAGGCACAGGTAGGGTCCTTGGGCCTGGCTGGTGATCAGAGCCAGTTGGAGCCTTCTGGCTGCCGGCCAGGGCCTTCCTTCGTTCTGCACTGTCCCTGGAGGTTAGCACACATCATAGGGAGCGTGCAAACTCCCAGTCTCCTGGTCGAACCCCCGAGGGGACACTTTGCATATTAGCCTTTTATATAGATAGATAGATAGATAGATAGATAGATAGATACCCACTAAGTTCCTATGTCACATACATGCAGTAGTGCGGAAGAACCATGGCTTATTTTTAAGTTATGCAAATTTGGTTGTTGCAGAGTGGCAATAATCAGTTTCAAATGGCCTTCCTCCATGGTCTTGGATTAGAGGTCATGATAAAAAATGATTCATTTTTCAAATGAATGATTTAAAACCTATTAATTTTGGTAACTTTGATAAAGTATAGTTTTAAGTCCTGTGGGAACAGTATTATACAGCTTCACCCAGATGACCTAAAGTATTTAATTATCCTTTGCCCTTAGGATGGTGAAGAAGATGAAGCAAGTGATAGAGAAAAGGATCAAGATAGTGATGAGAGTGACGACTCTGTTTAGACCACAAAAAATGGACGCCTCGTCCTTATCTCCGCCAGCCTCTTAGCGTTTTCTGTTCAGGATTTGAAATCTGTCTCCCTTTCTCACCAGAATTATCTTATTTTGTCCTTAAAGTGAGGGCTTTGTTGTTTCAACTTAATAGTGAATTTTATAGATCGTCTAACATCAGAGGTCCTGGCTCGGGATTCCAGTGTAGTATTCAGTGCTCTACTGAAGAGCTAGTTTTGAATTTATTTTGTAATTTATGTTTATAGCAGTTTGACAAATAAATTGTTTTAAGTTCCGCTTCAGCTACTTCTTTCCTTCTTTCTGGATTTCCTTTAATTAGACAGGGATTAGATGAAATTGAATTGGGTTTTCAGCAGAGAAATAAAAAATGGTGCCAACATTAGTTCTACCAATGAAAATCATGTTTTCTATTGTAAGAATTCTCTTTCTTTGAGATAAGATCTTTGTGTTCTTTTTAGAGGAGTGTTAAATTTCTTGTCAATGCCCAAATAAGATAAAAGTGAGTATTTTGGCTGCTTTTTAAAAAAGTTTGCTCATCATGTCCATGTAAGACAAAGGGGGAAAACTCTGGTTGAATTTGTATATGTAATGTTTATTTCCACATTATTCTGAGTTAAACCTATAATCTAGTTACAACTATGTACAAAAATTACTTATAGTTTCTTAGAAATGTAACATTAGTGGTACCTTGAGCTAAAATGGAAAGTCTCACATCTTCATCCAGAAAGTCCAGTTTCAGTTCTGCTACCAAATTTTTGCTAGGTTACAAATATTAATATTTGTTAAAATTTTTTGGTACTTTTTAATATTTGTTAATATTTCTACCCACTTTGGTATTCTCCAGTGGTATTAGGAGGTGGCTGGTTAGGTGTTGGTTGTTTTTAGTAGAGGAGGTTTTTGGTTTTAAAATTAATCCTTAACCCACCTATAGATTTTTGACCCCTTCATTCTCAGGTATATCAAAATTGATGTCTCCTTCCTTTACATACCTTTGTTTCCCCAGTTCATTATGGTTTTAGATGTTTAAGTGAGTTCACACTAGGCTTATTTATATGGTTTGTTTAATGGTTCTTTATCACATGTACATGTCAATGCTAATTTGACTCTCTTTTAAATAGTTGTTCAACATTTCAATGGAAATTGTTCTTCCTTGCTCTATCACTGGCCCTTTTTTGGAGGGGAAGGGAGGAAAGAGGCTCCTGAATTTTCACTGCTTTACAGAAAAGCAAGATGGTTGGGCACTGTCAGTTTCCTTTCCATGGAAAGGTTTCTGCAAGCTCCAGGCACACAGCGAAGGGAATCGTGTGGGGAAAGGGAACAGGTGGGGGCCCCTTCACTTGGAGTGTTGCAAGGCAAAGGTACACTTCTTGTACGTTGCATACAGCAAGAGGATGGAGCGCAGCATCTGTTTGCACATGGTCACTGTCATCTGAATCTGAGGCTCCTTAAGTCCAGTGGGCCACTGGTGCTCCCGGCTGATGATTTTGCAAAAGGCTGACTTGTCTGAAACTCTGAAGGTCCCAGTCCACTTTGGAGGCTGAGCCGTGATGACCCTGCCAAAGACCGAATCCACTCCACTGAGGCGGACAGGCTGGGGCTTCCTGACCAGCCCTTTCTTGTTGTTAATGGTTCGGAGCTCTGATGTGTGGCAGGGTAACTTGGGACTCACCCCGGATTCCAGGAATGGGCTGTCTAGGACTAGAGTGACCTCTTGAAAGCAGAGCTGCACTTCCAGGTCAGAAGGGGTGTGTGGGAAGCAGGGGGAAGCTCTAAAGGGGTGCTTGGAAGAAGGTGTAGGTGTTGTGTGCCGCAGCCATTGGAAGCTCTCATCCAGTGGGGTCCATGGTGACCAGAGCTGGTATCCTGCCATTGACAGTCTAAAGGAAAGGAATCAGAACATGGAATTTCCCTAGCATGGTTTTGGTGAGGGCATGGCCATTCAAATTCACATATTTTTCACATTGTCTTTAACTTATTCTAGTCCCCCCAAAAACAGAGTCCAGTAGATGTTAGGGTACTAGTATTTCTAAAGAGTAGTAAGGGATGGTGACAAGTCTTGAATCTGTCAAGTGCCATGTGTACTAAAACTTCATTAAACCTTAACACAAGTCTTTGAAGGTAGGTTTTAACCCATTTTACAGATGAATACAGGTGGGCAATAATAAACAATAGTAATACAAGCATAAACTTGTGTATTCACAACTGTAAACCTACTTTTGCCCACCCCTGTAGATTTGCCCTAAATGGAGCATCCCAGTTAACCATTGGGACCTATGCTGTGCTGATAACTGCTAAACACACCGCTGAGGTTGTAGAGGCTGCTGGCACTTGATGATGAGACATGATGATGAGCTCAGAAAGGCCCCATCTTACCAAATAGGTGGGACTCTGAATCCCATATACTTACACCAGCGGTTCTCAAAATATCCCGGGACTAGCACCTTTCAAAACCAAAACACTTTGGGGAGGGCCCTGCCATTTGTGCTTAAGTAAACCCTCTGGGGCTTCTGATGTACTTAAAGTTTGAGAACATATAAAGCTCCTCTTAAGGAACTTCAGCTTTCACTATTTTTAATTATCAAGACCGATCCCTTTTCTTTTTATCCAGTTGTATTCCTCTGTCCCTTCTCTTTTCTCCAAAAGGAAACAGCGGCAGATCTTATTACATCCAGTAATGGTGTGACAAATTAACACTTCCACCATCCTTTGTGAGACAATAAAGTTCACTTTTTAAAAGGAATTGGTAACATTTTAAACCAGAAGACCTTCCCTAACAATTAGTATAGAGATTTGTTGATTTCCTCCAACTGGTGTTTCCTGACCTATGCTGGCCCTTTTGCACACTGTGTTCAAATGTCAGGGCTGCTTTAGGATGAGAAACTGACACTCCAGGGATCCTTATCTACTCCAAACAGCCTACCAAAGGCGTCTGGTGCTTCAGATCATGACCCTGAGTGTACAACCAAGATCAGTGCTACTCTGGTTCACAACCATGGCAAGGTGGGATGACCAAAATAAGTATCCTTTTCCTGACTCACCTCCTAAGGGCAAAAGGGGCTAGAGGTGTTTAAAAAAAAACAAAAAAAACTTTCAAATGTCCAGCCTAAGTATTCAGCAGCAGAACCACCACTTTCAGGCAAGGTTTACATAAAATGGTTCACACCCCCTTCACCTCATTCCCATTCCCACCATCCAGAACTCACTGTCATCCACTCCAAGGGGGATTGACCTTGGAAGTCTATTCAAGTTACTCTAACAACTTCCCAATAGGAAACCCCGTGTTCTGGCCAAAAAGGGTTCCCCTTCATACTTGTCCTCCGGTTCCAAGGAACCGGGTCCCCCAGTGTCCCCACCTGGGAAAGAGGAAGGCAACGCGTCAAAGTGCCGCTGAGGTCCTTGCCAACTGCAATCCGAGGGGCTGAAGCTGCCTGTTGTTGTGGGGAGCTTCCCTTCCCGGTAGGAAAACAGTCTTGTTCCCTGGGAGCCCCTACCCCGGGCCGGGCTGGGGCCAGAGGGCTCTGGCTGAGGAGGTGGAGGTGGCGGTGGGAGCCCAGGCCCGGTCCCACCATCCGGGCTGGGAGCTCACCTGCTGAACTCCACGGCCATCCGCTCCAGAGTGACAGCTGCTGGTCCCCGCCGCATCTTTTCTCCACCAGGCGCCTGGCAACGGCCTTTGTGACCAAGGACTTTGGGGGGGTGGGGGAGGCGGGGGGAGAGACTCGAGCGGCGCCGGAAGGTGGGGCCGTCTGGGCTGGACTCCCCACCGCCACCTCCTTGGAACGCCAGGTTCCGAAGTGCAGGTTCGAACCCCGCCCCCTCTGGCCCCTCCCTTCTTTGCTACATCTGTGTTCCTTAGATCTAGTGGCAGAGCAGGGTCTGCCCACTTCAGGGGGTGTGGTCAGGAACGTGCTTTAAAATTCCCGGACCTATAGTTTAAAAGACTTTATTAAACCCTACTCAGTACATGTTCTGGCAGTTACCCAGGCTCTGAAGGCTTTTGCTGCTGCATTGGATTGCTCCCCGTGCAAGGAGACAGAATGTACTAGTATAAATGTTCACCTATCTATAATAGAACAAGAAAAAAGAACTTGTGTCTGAAAATCTTTCCCTGCATTCTGTTAAATCTCAGAAAAGACGATGCTGTCCCATTCTCACCAAGCTGAAGAACTGAACCTTTCACCATAGTAAGAGTGATCCGACAACTTTGACAGCATCACTCAGTTACCTGGACCGCTGAGGGAAGACATCTATTCAGTTGATTCCTATATCCCTGGTGCCTGGCTGTCGAGGTGCCTGACAGTATGCAGAAGGTACCTGGGGAGGAATTAACTAATGGCCCACCTGCTCTTCCCTTAACTACACAGAAAGTTGGCCTTGCACTTGGGGAACTATGTAACACAAATCAGAGCTGTCACCTTTTGTCTGGCTCTTTGGGTGAAGCTGAAGTGGAGAGACTGGGGACCAAGGGAGGGGTCAGGCTGAGATTCCGGTTTGAAAGTCCAGAGTCTTGAGAAGCTTGTCAAGAATTGTCAGCTGCTGCTGTGTGTTTGTGTCCCTGTGGAAGGAGAACTAAGTGGAGATTGGAAGAATCGTCAAAATGCAGAGATGGGCAGAGAATTACGACTCTTTAATTCAAAATTAAAATGATTTTTGAATTACAAAACCTTTTCAATAAGTTTTTAAGTTTCCTCTTGTTATTTTTAAAGCAAATAAAATATTTTTTATTGCACAACTGTTTTTAATATATATTTTAATTGATTTCAGAGAAGGGAGAAGGACAGAGATAGAAACATCAATGACAAGAGACTTTGACTGGTCGCCTCCAGCACGCCACACACTGAGGATTGCACCTGCAATCCAGGCATGTGCCCTGACCGGGAATCAAACCGAGACCTCTCCGTCCACCCTGGCGGGGCAGGATATTTTTTTCCATTGTTTTTCAGAGAGTAGAAGGGAGGGAGAGAGGAAGGGAAGGAGAAACATTGTGAGAAAAACACACTGACTGGTTGCCTCCCGCATACCACCCTGCACTCACCTGCGCTCGATCTTGTCTTGCCATTAATTTACAAATTTCCCCTTGCTGGGCATTTTGTTCATTTGATGAATGTAAGGTGGAACATCATATTGTGTTGTTGAAAAGCATTTTTAAAATAACTCGGGCTTAATGTGATTTAATCGGTTATGCCCAACTTATTGCCGACACAGACCATACCCTAAGTCTGGAGCAGATGGGGACGGGGGAACTGCGGTGGGTTGGAAGCTCCTGGCGCATGCCCACTCCCTCTTCCCGGTTGGAGTGGAGCAGAGCAAACCCGGCCGGGAGGTACCGTCGCGCAGGCGCATGAGGACGCTCGCGAGTCGCCGAGGGAGGGGGTGGGCGGGCGGCGCAGGCGCACGGCGTCCTGGAGGATCGGGGCGCCTGCGCAGTCGCACTTCCTTAGGCGGCGGCCATGGCGGGACAGGAGGATCCCGTGCAGCGGGAAATTCACCAGGACTGGGCGAACCGGGAGTACATTGAAATCATCACCAGCAGCATCAAGAAGATCGCGGACTTTCTCAACTCGTTCGGTCAGTGGGCGGGCGGCGGTCGGCGGGCGGGAGGGAGGGAGGTCTCGGAGGGGTGGCCGGGCGCGGAGACGCTTGGACGGGCTCTCTCCGGGAGATCTCTGCTCTCGCTCTTCTCTTCCTCCTCCAGGCCCCACCTTCCCCCTCCCTCCCTGGCCTCAGGCTCCCCTGGGCAGTCCCGGTAGGGTTTACCCTGCTCCACGCTGAGCTCAACGACCTTATGGCCACGACTTTGGATCCGTGGACTATAGTTCTTCCTTTTCCCAGACCCGTCGGGCTGCCCCATCCACCCTGTGCGCCCTGCCCTTTCTCAGGAGTCTTCTCGCCTCCTCCGCGCTCCTCTTCCCTTCCGGGTCCCACTTTACATTCAGAGAGCACCTTCTAGAACAAACTTAAGCCGTGGCGCTGTGTATAGCTTCAGGATCGAGGGGAAACCCTTTAGCTGCCCGCCCCATTCATCCTCCCGTCTGTTCCTTTCTCCCCTGTTTGCTGTGCTGGGTGGTGGGAGGTAAGGTCAGAGGTCAGGTCCAGGTCGTGTGGAGTCATGGGAATCTTCTCTGTATTGTTAAGCATCTAGCTGGCTGTAGGTGTTCTTTCGGCTTCTAGCAAAATCTCTTTCCTAGGCATGGCCTGCTCATGACAGTCTTTATTCGGTATTTTTTTCTGGACAGCAATCCTGTAACAGAATCCCATCCCCATCCCATGTTTTTCGAATGTTTAAGAACTGGGTAGACTTAGTAATCATAAGGTGTAGGGATCCCCATCTAGTGATCTTTTCAAACTCATGTGCTTCTGTCCGACGAATTCAGCAAAATCAAGCAATTAAAATTAAGTAGGGGAAAGGATCTATTAAAAAGACGTTAAAATGTATTATTTTCTAGCTAGAAGACTGGTGAGTTCTAAGGGCAGAACATGGAATTCGTCAGAAAGCATCCGCAAGAGAGACTAGTTCTCAGTGCAAGACACTCTCAGGACTATGGACGACACAGAACAAGAACCATTTCCTGAGTCAAATAATTTTTTCAAATTTATTTTTATTGATTTCAGAGAGGAAGGAAGAGAGAGTGTGTGTATCATTGACCGGCTGCCTCCTGCATGCCCCACACTGGGATAGAGCCCACAACGAATTAAACTGTGACTTCCTGGGTTCATAGTTTGACACTTAACTACTGAGCCTTGCTAGCTGAACCTGAGTCAAATAATTTTATCTTCAAATTGAAATAATAGCCCTAACTGGTTTGGCTCAGTGCATAGTGCAGACTGAAGGGTTCCAGGTACGATTCTGGTCAAGAGTGTGTACCTTGGTTGCTTGCACATCCCCAGTGGGAGGTGTGCAGGAGGCAGCTGATTGATGTTTCTCTCTCATCAATGTTGTTTTTTTGTTTTTTTTAAAATATATTTTATTGATATTTTACAGAGAGGAGGGAGACAGATAGAGAGCTAGAAATGTCAATGACAGATAAACATCCACCAGCTGCCTCTTGCACACCCCCTACCGGGGATATGCCCGCAACCAATGTACATGCCCTTGATCAGAATCCAACCCGGGACCTTTCAGTCCACAGACCGATGCTCTACCACTGAGCCAAACCGGATTCGGCTCTCATCAGTGTTTTTGACTATCCTTCTCCCTTCCTCTCTGCAAAAAATCAATAAAAATTTTTTTAAAAAAAGATGACATAACTTCAGAACAAAGCAGAACATTGTTTTTTATTAATATATTTACATATAAGGTATATAGGACTATAAGCTTGATGTATCTTGATATGATGGACTTCCTCACTTTCCAGGGATTGGGGGTGAAGATAATACTATTGAGAGAATAGTATTACTTTATATGTCAATAATACATATTTATATAAAAAAAAAAAACTTGCTATAGAGTTTGTAGTAATGAATGATATCAAGAAAGTATAGAGCTCGCCCTAACCATTTTGGCTCAATGGATAGAGTGTCAACCTGCAGACTCAAGGGTCCCAGGTTCAATTTCGGTCAAGGACATGTATCCTTGGTTTCTGGCACACACCCAGTAGGGAGTGTGCAGGAGGCAGCTGATTGATGTTTCTCTCTCATCGATGTTTCTAACTCTGTCCCTCTCCCTTCCTCTCTGTAAAAAATAAATAAAACATTTTTTTTTTTAAAAAAGAAAGTGTAGATCTCAAATACCCTGAAATTTTTTGAGGACTGAGTGAAGGAACACAGTTTAGTGAAAGATAAGTGGGTTTGGAGACAGGAGAAAGAAGTTCAAAGAAACTAGACTGATTTTAATGAACTGAAAACATTTGAGAAATACTGACATTTACCCTAATATTCAGATATTCTGAGTTTCCTCAAAGACTTTTAAAAAAAATTCATGCAAATTTTTCAATGTTCTCATAACTGGTTTCTTCTGCTTTTCCAATAATTAGGGGGTTCTTCATGGCATTCTTTACTCATAACATTCCTTCAAAAGAAGAACCAGTTAAGAGAAACCAAGAGGTTGCATGCTAAAGGAAAGATGGAATGATGACAAGATCATAGCTTTGGTTTGGTTTGGAAAGACAGTGGAAAATAGTTGGAAACATCACTGACATGGAGAGTTTTAACTTTAAAAGGTAGAATTAAAAGACTTCTTTCATCTGGTATATAATATCAGATATGTATACATAGAATATCCAAGCAACACCCTAACCATGAGAAACACTGGCCAGGGCTATCTTAACACATTTTTAATTTTTATCTTTGACATAAATCTTCTTGACATCATCATAGTCATTAAATTTATATCGTGTGTGAGTCTTGCACCTGACTGAAAATTGAAGAGTCTGAATTTAGTATTTGCCAAAGAGAAATGTATTTTTTTTATTTTATTAGCAAAGAAATACCTGCTCTGAGATTTTATCAAATGTATATGAGTTACATTTTGTGATTAGATAGAGAATAAAGACTTTTCTTTTTATTCAAGATTTCTAACAAGTCTTAGACTGAGGAAATAGACACAGAATTCTAATCTTTAGGAGCCAGAAGAAATGGCTTTCCTTAGCTTAATCTAAGAGGCTGTCTCCAGTCGTGTCCAGCCCATCTCGCCCAGTCCTGCCCTAATGGTCACCTGATGTTTGGAGTAATTACTAGGTGGTTTTTGAAAATTTTGTTTGTTTATTTACTTATTTTTTATTTCAGAGAGGAGGTAAGGGAGACAGGGCTAGAAACATCAATGATGTTTAAGAATCATTGATTGGCTGCCTCTTGCATGCCCCACACTAGGAATTGAGCCATGACCCGGGCATGTGCCCTAACTGGGAATTGAACCATGACCGTTGGTTCACAGGTGGATGCTCAACCACTGAACCACGCCGGGCTTTGAAAAATTTAGTAAGTGAATTTAGTCCTTTAAGAAAAGTACGAAATTATAAGTAAGAACAGAACTATGAAGCAAGAATAAAAGTTAAAGCAATCTGATTTAGCAGTTAAAAAGGTGGTGAATACTGGCACATTAAGAGTTTAGACAAAAGACCAACAGGCTGAGAAACTGGATAAATCATAAGAATATGCTTGAGTATACTGTCCTGGCATTGGATGACTGGAGCTAAGTGTGTGGGATGTATTTTTCTATTCTAAGCCCTTAGCATAACTCCTTAGTTCTGAGGTGTATCTGTGGGGCTGGCGTTGAGTTTATGGTACTGTGGTTTGGTGGTGCAGAGATTTAACAGGAGCTTACTTGGAGGACATCTGGAGCTCTTTGAAAACGGCAGCAGTCCTACAAGCCTCACCCTGTGCTTTGGAAAGGGGAGTTTTTGCAAGATAGCCAGTGGTGTCTGACAGCTTTTACTCTGATTTCTGCTGGTGAGAGTAAAATCACAATCTCTGTAGTTTTCTCTCTCAGGCCTGGAGGCCACCTGAACCCGAGAATGCACAGATTATAAAGCAGTGATAACATCCCAGCACTAGGCCTATTTTGTATTTGGAACTGAAGTTTCTAAAAGTAGATTGTCGTAGATGATGGTTTTGTTTTTTTAAATTTCTCAACACTGCTTATTCATGTAGGCCAGTAGCATCATGTTCTTGGATTCTGATTCATGACCAGATTGACAGCTAGAACAGAACAGCAACCCAGGAAGGAAACCTCCCTCTAACCACCCTGCTTCTTTGGATATTTTTGGCTCCTTTTTATGGGAAATGACAGATTGTCAGTGATAACATTCATGCTGTTACTGAATAGCATACATGATGTGTCTTTGAGCTTCTAAAAACCACACTAAGCCCTAACCGGTTTGGCTTAGTGGATAGAGCGTCAGCCTGCTGAATGAAGGGTCCCAGGTTCAATTCCAGTCAAGGGCATGTACCTTGGTTTTGGGCACATCCCCAGTAGGGGGTGTGCGGGAGGCAGCTGATTGATGTTCCTCTCTCATTGATGTTTCTGACTCTCTATCCCTCTCCCTTCTTCTCTGTTAAAAAAACCAATAAAATATATTTTAAAATAATAATTATATATATATTTATTTTATTTATTTATTTATTTATTTATTTATTTATTTATTTTCTTAAACACCACCACCACCCCCACACTGAAAGAGATTTGATTTTGTTGGGCAGTCATGGCAAAGTATATCCAGGAAAAGTAAGGTGCTGAGGTGCTTTTCTACTCAAGCTAGACCTGGGAATTTGAAGAAGCAGTACTAGCAGATAAAAGGACAAGATTGAAAAAAAGAATGAAGAACCCTGGCCAGTGTAGCTCAGTTGGTTGGAATGTCATCCTGTACACCAAAATTGGAGGGTTTAATTTCTGGTCAGGGCACATGCCTTGGTAGGGGTGGGTATGGGAGGCAGCTGATTGATGTTTCTTTCTTCCTTCCTCTCTGTAAAATGAATTTCTAACAATTATTTTAAAAAATTAAAGAAGGATGTCCAGAATAGGCAAATCCATACTTCCATATACACCCAAACCGGGATCAAACCCACAATCTAGGTATGTGAACTGATCAAACATCGAACCTGCAACCTTTTGGTGTACAGTATGATGCTCCAACCAACTGAGCCACCCGCTCAGGGCACTAATAGAGGTTTCTTTTAGAGATTATGAAAATTAGATTATGGTGATCACTTCACAATTCTGTAAATATTCTAAAAACCATTGAATTATATTTTAGGCAGTTGAGCCTTATGGTAATAAATTATATATCAATGAAGCTATTGCTAAAAATGAATAACGAAGAGTAGCCATGAAGATGGATGAGTGAGAAAGGATCTAATATGAAACAAAAAGAAAAAAATGAACTAGAAAGTGGAAGAGTCGGGTTGCAAGCAAATTTAAGGAATGTGGGGAATAAATATGGCTTCAAAGGCCCAGGAGGATGGTAGCAGTGTAATGGGGAAGTGTAATGCCATGTGAGGAAACTGGGTTTTGATCTCAACTCTGCCACCCTTTTGTCCTGTCAGTTACCCATCATGAATACTCCTCTTATCTAGGCCTTTGTTTCCCCAATTGTAAAATTAGTGGATCCCTGGTCTGGTAACTCAGTTGGTTAGTGCATCGTCCCAATATGCCAAGGTTGCAGGTTTGATCCCTGGTTGGGCACATAACTCGTACAAGAATCAACCAGTGGCCGAAACCGGTTTGGCTCAGTGGTAGAGCGTCGGACTGCGGACTGAAAGGTCCCGGGTTCGATTCTGGTCAAGGGCATGTACATTGGTTGCGGGCACATCCCCAGTAGGGGGTGTGCAAGAGGCAGCTGGTCGATGTTTCTCTCTCATTGATGTTTCTGGCTCTCTATCCCTGTCTCCTCCTCTCTGTAAAAACTCAATAAAATATATTAAAAAAAAAAAAAAAAAGAATCAACCAATGAATGCATAAGTAAATGAAATGACAAATTGATGTTTCTCCCTTCCTCTCCCTCTGAAAAATCAACAAATAAAAAAAAAAAAAAAAATTAGTACGCACACTAGAGAGTCAAACTTCTATTCTACTAATATCCCAGAATATCTCTCTCTCTCTCTCTCTCTCTCTCTCTCTCTCTCTCTCTCTCTCTCTCTCTCTCTCTCTCTCTCTTCAGTAAACATCTATGGGCCAGGCAAGACCCTAAGATTACAAAGATTAATAAAAGGCAATATATGCAGTCTTAGATAGTTTGGCTCAGTGGATAGAGCATTGGCCTGTGAACTGAAAGGTCCTAGGTTCAATTTTGGTCAAGGGCATATGCTTGGGTTTGGGCTCAATCCCCAGTAGGGGGCGTGCAGGAGGCAGCCGATCAATGATTCTCATTATTGATGTTTCTCTCTCTGTCCCTCTCTCTTCTCTGAAATCAATAAAAAAATATATTTTTAAAAAAAGGCAATATTTGCCTTTGATTAACTCATTCTACTGGGGAAACAGTCATGTAAATAAATTATAAAGCATAAGCACATAAGTATCACTTGGTTTTGTTACATCAACATTTACTCATGTCATTAATTATTCTTCAAACTGGTAATTTTTTAGTGGCTGTTTTAATAGCCTGACATAGATATATATACTTTACCAAAGCATTCCTAAGTATTAGTGGTGAACATTCTTGTTTGTTAAATATTTATCTAAAGTGAGAGATAATAACTGAAGACCAACTATGTAAGTTAATTTACCAATTAGAAATTCAGCCATAAATATTTAGATAAATAACAGAGGAGGGAAAATTATAACCATCTGTCAAAGACCTTTCAGAATTCAATTTGAACTGAACCTTGAAGGAGAATGTTTAGATGAGTAAAATTTGCATATGATGAAATGAAAATTAAGGCAAGATCGGGGTATAGGAAGATTTGTGTCAAAATGGGTGCCAAAGCATGTTTGCATAACATCCAGGGAAGAGATTAAAGAAAGGTTGTGAGCTAAGTGTTAAGTCACTGAGTGGGAGTGCATCTCAGTGACTGGTTATTTTAGATCCAAGTGAAGAGTACTGAGAGATTAGAGGCCCAGTGCACGCAATTCATGCACTGGGGGGGGGGGGGGTGCCCCTCAGCCTGGTCTGTGCCCTCTCACAGTTCGGGACTCCTCGCTTCATACCGCCCACCTGCTTGCTGCTCCTTAGCTGCCACGGAGGCAGGAGAGGCTCCCACTACTGCTGCTGCACTCGCCAGCCCCGAGCCCAGCTTCTGGCTGAGCGGTACTCCCCTCGTGGGAGCGCCCTGACCACCAGGGTGCAGCTCCTGTGTTGAGCATCTGCCCCTATTGGTCAGTGCGCATCATAGGGACTGGTCATTTCATCGTAATGGTTGCTTAGGCTTTTATTATATAGATGACTGAACCTATTGGAAGAAGTGGTAGGAAATAATTAGCATGCCTAGAAACCTTTTTCTCCTGTGTATTGAGAATAGTTATAGAAAGAGTATACAAGTCTGTTAGAGAAGTTTGCAGAAGACAGGTATTTTAGGGAAATACATTTCATTTTGGGTAAGGTGGTGAAAGAAGATTGAAAAGGGTAGAAAACGAATTTTGCAGATGGAATGTGGGCTTCCCAAGATATTTGACGTTCAAGTTTTCTCTGATTCTGAAAGACATCTGCAGATATTGATGAGACATTAAGTGCCCTGGTAAGCATCGGCAGTGCTGTGGCTTCCATTAGCTTAGAAACACTGGCACCTTCCCTTCTTCCCACAGTCTCTGCTGCTTTCCGGGCCTCTGCTTTTCCTCCCTGTTAAGATTATTTTCTTCCTCTTTTTTATTTTTCCTCTCTTGAAACTTAGTTTGCCTATTACCAAATGGTCATCTGTACAGCGTTGGTCTGTTAGATTCCTATTGCTGCCATAACAATTACCACAAAGGCTTAAACCACACAAATTTATTATTTTACAGCAGTGTAGACCAGAAGTCTAAAACTGGCTCACCGCGCTGAAATTACGTTAGCAGGGTGCCTTCCTTCCTGGAGGCTATGGGAGAGGATGTGATCTCTTGCTCATTGGGTTGGTGGCAGACTGGTTGTCTGCTGAGAGCTGTTCCTAGCTTCTGAGGGTCACTTGCAGCTCTTGGCTCATTGCCCCCTTTCTCCATCTTCAAAACCAGCAATGGCAAGTTGAGTAGCCCTCACACTTTGAGTCTTTTTCTGCCTTTCCTCTTCCTTTCTCATCTACATTTAAGGGCTAGTGATTAGACTGGGCTCATCTAGACAATCCAGGACCTCAAGATTCTTAACTTTAATCATATCTACAAACTCCCTTTGTCATGAAGGGTAATACTCACGGGTTGCAGGGATTGGGATGTGGACATCTCTGGGAGCCGTATTCTCTGCCCACCGCAGATCCCTGTGAGCAGCTGTGTTCCTAAATGCTTCTCCCTTTGTCCTCTCCACTCCTCTGCTCTGCCTACCTGCTCCCATTCGTGCTCTACACGAGATACCTTTTCTCTTATTCGGCTTAGTGGGGAGAGAGTGTGTACGTGTGTGTGTGTCTGGAATGACATTAATCCTGAATCAGTCTCCTTTTACCAGATATGTCTTGTCGCTCAAGACTCGCAACACTGAATGAGAAATTGACAGCCCTTGAACGGAGGATAGAGTACATAGAAGCAAGGGTGAGTATGATGGCCAAGATGTTTCCTTGTGAAGTTAGTCAATGGCTGTGCAAGAGAGAATGCACATTGCTATGTCTTGCTAAAACAAACAGGCAAGCAGAAATAAATTTAGAGAAGTTAAGTACCTTGCTTAAATGTGAACCAGGTTTCTGAGACTCTAAAGCTATCTTCTTTTCTACCATTCACTATTACCTAGGATCTAAAATACCTCTAATGCTTTTGAATTTATCTAATGGTCCATTTTCCTTCTACAGGTGACAAAAGGTGAGACCCTCACCTAGAGCTGTGCCAGCCTGCTGCTGGGAAGTTGCTTTGCGGAACACAGGCCTACGTGGGAAAGGTCCCAGCAGCCTTCCACTCCTCCTCTCTCCTTAAAGAGCAACAGGGCTTATTCTTGTTTTTCTTTCTTCAAACATGTGGCCTTTGGGCTCTGCCATGTTCAGCTGGCAGTGTGATATGGCATGTGGGGAGAAGTCCAGGGGAACTCTTGAAAACATTTAACCTTTTCAGTAACATTTTGTAAAACTACTTGTCAATGTATTTGAGGCACTCAGAGCCAAAAGCCTGGGACTTTTTATTAAGGTCCTTTCCACCTCTCTCTCTTCCTCTCAGATTTTCCTTACAGTTCTCATTGCCTCTGCAGTGATTCTATAAACGGTCTTTTCTCCTCCTACCTTTGTTGGGAGGTAGCAGACAGTCCTGGCTGAGAGACTCATGCCCTGGCGAGGTGGCTGCCAGAGAATGTTGTTGCTAATCCACCAGTTTTTGTCCTTCTTGGGAGGTGAAGGCCAGGTCCCCACTTGGCTTGAAGGGACATTTTCAGATTTTTCTTTCTGTCACTTGGGGTATTTGCCTCCGATATTTCCCTAATAAACTCCTCAACTTTATCTGACTGCTGTGATTGTGGTGGGAGAGGAGCTAGAGATGGGACTCCTCTGTTCCACAGAAATCTGTGTGGAATTATTTTAACAAAACTTTCAGGTGTTGCCGAAACCGGTTTGGCTCAGTGGTAGAGCGTCGGTCTGCGGACTGAAGGGTCCCGGGTTCGATTCCGGTCAAGGGCATGTACGTTGGTTGCGGGCACATCCCCAGTGGGGAGTGTGCAAGAGGCAGCTGGTCGATGTTTCTCTCTTATCGACATTTCTAGCTCTCTATCCCTCTCTGCTCCTCTCTGTAAAAAATCAAAATATATTAAAAACAAAACAAACAAACAAAAAAACTTTCAGGTGTAGCTGCTTGATCAAAACCTAGGTGGCTTACCAGCCTGAGCCCTCATATTTGGACTTGGAGCTATTTATCCTGGGAATCATTTGGTCACTCAGCAGTCATTTTGCCAAGTGCTTACTTTGTAGATACGTTATGTTCCAATAAAAGGTACATCATTGAATGAAGTGTGATGCTTACAGTCTTTTGCAATACTAACATTCACACAATTTAACCACAATCCAGGGTTTTAAAACCAGGTTTTATAAGGTATAAGCCAAATGTCTACTTTTTATTAAAGCTAATAGTTTAAACAGAAGTATGTAAAACTTGTCATTTCCAAAGCCTGCAACCTTCTTCAAAGGCTTAGACAGCCACCTGGAAGTCATTCAGTATTGCCCTTTTCCTTTCCTTAGTCCCTGCCATCCTACCATGCTAATACTACAACTCTGGGTTGATGAATTCTCTAAGTCAGCATCTGCCTCCTGCAACGCACTTGAGTGTCTCTTCTTAAATTGCCCAGTTGAATGCCTTGCAGAAGGTGGGTAATCAGTAAATAACGATTGAGCTGACTTATAGAGCTCAAACTGCTTTGTACTTTTAGAATCCTTGCTTAGACCTTTAGAAAATAGTACCTTAATTTAAAAATGGGATTTTAGCCCTATGAACTCAAGAGTCATTTGAGTTCATTATTCATAGTATCTCCCCTATCCAGAATAAAGAATTACATACTTCCAAAGTTCAAGTTTTAGGTTATCTGATTTTCTGTAGTTTTAACAGTTATTTATTGAATTCGTCCTCTGTACAAGGGCTATAGCATGAGATAATAATAGGGGCAGAAGTGGTGATAATCTATAAGCTGGAGAAGTCCTCCAATGAAATTACATGTGAAAATGCTTAATAAATTTCTTATGTCCCAATAGATACTAATTAGTTAATCTGTATTTATAAAAGCCTAAGCGATCATTCGACTGGTAATTATACGAGTGCTGATACAAGGAGGCAGACCCTCAACGCACAGGCATGAAAACATGGAACAGACATGAATCTCGGAGGGAAGGGGCGAGGGGGAGAAAAAAAGGGGGAAAAGATTAGCCAGAGATCTTACATGCATACTAGAGCCCCCATGCACAGAATTGTGCACCAGTGGGGTCCCTCGACTGGGCCTGCAGGGATCAGCCCAAAACCGGCAGTCCAACATCCCCCAAGGGGTCCCGGATTGCGAGAGGGTGCAGGCTAGACCAAGGGACCCCATGCACTGGGTGCATAAATCCATGCACCAGGCCTCTAGTTTAATATCAAAGTAATATTTCTAAAAAAGTTAGTGCCTTAATACTTGTTGCTAAAGATAATCTGCTGCTTGTAAAGAGAGCAAGTGGCAATATTTGGGATGGGAGACAAGTGAATCTGACCTCTAGTAGTAGTAACTTTTTCATTTTATCTGGCACTTAAAGGTGTCCATGATTTTCTGTGTTATCACCCCATGTATAAAATGCCTTGGCTTGACCAAGAATATACAGCTATAATTTATTGAGTGTTAAATGTGCTAGATGGGCTAAGTGCTTTATGTACTTTATTTTATTTAAGCTTTAAGCTCTGAGAAGGAGGCATTCTTAACTCCACATAATAGGTTTACAACAAGTTTAGACTGGAACTTGTCCAGAGTCGTACAATGTCAGTGAAGGTGCTGGGATTTCAACACCTTTCTGACTCAGGCTGCTCTAACCATTCTACTTCTGAATGGGGTATAACCAGATCTAAAACTTACTTTCTCATATCTAGTTCAGAGCTGTTTCACTCTATGCACAGTATCCACACCTATATTTGTCTTATATGCCTCCTCACCATCCTTTTGTACAGAAGGCTTCATGGGCTTTTGCTCTGTCTGGCCAACACTGCATTGATGTTTCACTTTCCCCAGCTTCCTTTCTCTGAAGGTTTAATAATATATTTTACTTTCTGGAAGTCTTGGAAGTACTGGAATTTAGTCAACTCCAGTACTACTTCTAATTATCTCTGGGTTAGAGATACATCTGGAGCCAAAAGAAGTAGTCATAACTCTCTTCTGAAAGAGGTTATTTGATCAGGCTCCAGAAACTGGGATTTTACTCTCAAGTTATACACATCTTTGCTCATAGGTCATTGCAGTCTATAAATAGTGTTATGCTTAAACCATTTAATTCTCAATGTGTCACTTCAACTTAAGCAATTAGAGTTCTGATTATAGGCATACCTCATTATATGCCACAAATGTTGCATTGTTTTACAAATTGAAGGCAAGTCCTGCCAGCAAAAAGGTTACGACTCACTTTATTGTGATACGGGGATAGGGATGGGGGGTGGTCTGGAACCCAAATGGCAGTATCCCCAGGGTGTTCCTGTACTAAAATATTTCCTCACTGAGGATGATAGTTAATATTTTACATTTTGACTATGATTAGTAAGTAATTCTATTTTTTTTTTTTTAACAAGGTGTTGACAGGATTTTATTTTAAAATACATTTTCTTATTGATTTCAGAGAGGAGGGGGTGAGGAGAGAGAGAGAGAAACATTAATGATGAGAATCATTGATCTGCCTTCTGCATGCTCCCTGCTTGATTGAGGCTGCAACCTGAGCATGTGCCCTTGACCAGAATTGGACCTGGGACTCTTCAGTTCCGCAGGCTGATGCTCTAGCCACAGCTAGGGTAATAGTTGTTTTGATTTGAACTATAAGGAGAATGGATTTCAGAGATGTGAAACATACCCAGATTTTATTAGTCCAAATTGTTTTCATTCATCTCACCGTAATGAAAAATTGCAGAGTTCTTTTTCTTGTTCATACGTTAGACATTGTAGGGAAGTTTTCCACATTGTGCTTGCTTCTCTTACTTTCCTCGTGAAATCTTAATGATTTCTAAAGGATAATTATGAAGGACTTTTCCTGTTTTTTAACTTGAGTGGGAAATGAGCTAAATATGAAAAATCTCTGATCTTCATAAGAGTCCTCAAGAGAATTTCTTCTTTCCCGTACATTTGGAAGTGTTTTCTACCTGGTAATTTGATTTAATTCATATGTTTATTGAAAAAAACTAGAGAAAGGGATTTGAACTAGTGAGTTATTAAAGCATAAATAGATTATAAATATCTTGATAATAAAGTAGTTTTTAAAAATATATATTTTATTGCTTTTTTACAGAGAAGAAGGGAGAGGGATAGAGAGCTAGAAACATCGATGAGAGACATGACCAGTTGCCTCCTGCACACCTCCCACTGGGGATGGGCCCAAAATCAATGTACATGCCTTTGACCAGAATCGAACCTGAGACCCTTTAGTCTGCAGGCCGATGCTCTATCCAGTGAGCCAAACTGTTCAGGGCATAAAGCAGTTTTCAATCTTTTTAAAAACTAAGCTTGAACGATTTTCAGAAGCAGGAAAATAGGAAACTGATTTTTTGGGCATTAGAGAGATACCAGGTTCTATTGTCTTGCTCTTGTTTAACATTCGCTTAGTTCACTTAAAATTCAAATTCACTGACTACTTTGAACTTTCCACCTTTATTTCATAAAGCTAGGCCATACTAAGTGGATAGAAAGCCTATTTTTTAAAAAATATTTTTTATTGATTCCAGAGAGTAAGGGAGAGGGAAAGAAACATCAATGATGAAAGAGAATCATTGATTGGCTACCTCCTGCACACCCCTTACTGAAACCCAGGCATGTGCCCCTGACCAGAATCAAACCCGGGACCCTTCAGTCTGCACGCCTGCACTCTATCCCTGGAGCCAAACCTGCTAGGGCGAGAGCCTATTATTTATCTGTAGGCTCCATCCCAGCATTTGTATTCAGTTTCCTACTGTTGGCTGCAAAAAAAAATAAAAAAAATTTGCCTGTGGAGAATATGTTAGGGAAGTCACAGGCAGTTGGTGCCATTAGTAACTACAAAAGTACAGCTGATTTCTGAAGGTAGTGTGGCCGTCAAGTAGAGTATAGAATAAGAAAATCGGGTTGGATTAGTGCTCTCGAGTTTGTTTCCTGGAGAAAAGCCAGCCTGAACAAAGGTTGTCCAAAGGTTAGGATTAGCTTATAAAACTTAAGGGTGGGGAAAAATTTTAGAGAGAACCTAGTCCACTCTGGCCTTTTGAAAATGAAGAAGCAAGCCCAGACAGGTTGGGTGACATGCCCATCTAGTTACATGGTGGTGGCAAAGAACACTAAAACCCAGGTCTTATTCCCGGATCAAGTGCAGTGCCAGAGCCATTCAGGGTCTCCCAAGTCAGTTTTCTTTTCTGTGCCATGCTGGTCCTTTAATAGCCTTTCCCTGGATCTCGTTAACAACCTGAAAGAGTAAAAGGGTAGTTGTCACATGTAGCTAAGTGGTGTCCATTGGCATTAACATTTGCATTTGCAAAAACATCGGAGCACAGTTTCCTTTGGCACCTTGGGTTTGAGACTACCAAGTGTGAGATTGGTATTGTGCCTTAATCCCCATCCTTCTGCTATAGAGAATCTGCATTTCCCAACCATAACATGAGAGAGAATCTGCATTTCCCAACCATAACATTTTAAAAAAATAAGTTTTGTGCCCTGGCCAGACTTTTTTTGTGGCTCGGTTAAGTATGGTCCTGTGCACCAGGAGGTTGCTGGTTTGATTTCCAGTCAAGGGCACACAAGGGGGTGTGCAGCAGATCAATGTTGCACTCTCACATCAATGTTTCTCCTCTAAAAATCAATCTTTCCCTCCCTCCCTCCCTCCCTTCCTTCCTTCCTTCCTTCCTTCCTTCCTTCCTTCCTTCCTTCCTTCCTTTCTTCCTTTCTTCCTTTCTTCCTTTCTTTCTTTCTTTCAAAATGGAAGCTCAAACAGAGGCCTACAGAGGTCAGGATGGGAAAGACCAGTTCCAAAGATATTCCTTTTTAAAAATATATATATATTTTATTGATTTTTTTACAAAGAGGAAGGGAGAGAGATAGAGAGCTAGAAATGTCGATAAGAGAGAAACATCGACCAGCTGCCTCTTGCACACTCCGCACTGGGGATGTGCCCGCAACCAAGGCACATGCCCTTGACCGGAATCGAACCCGGGACCCTTCAGTCCGCAGGCCGACGCTCTACCACTGAGCCAAATCGGTTTCGGCTCAACCTATTCTTTAAAGAATATTAATATTTTGTAAAATAAATTTCGGACTTATAGAAAAGTTTAAAGAATAGTACAAATTATTTCTATACATCATAAAACATTTTTGAATTGAGATTTACTTTTATCCTTAAGTTTGAACTCATTTCAATGTGACAATCCCAGGGTGACCTTATGAGTAAAATGGAAAATAAGTGCATTATAAGGTAAAATACATTTTGTTGATAAAAATTTTTAAGATGTTCCAGTTCAATAAATGATCAAGTAATTCAGATTGGCGTTGATAACCCTTTTGTCTAAGAAGTTGTTCATTAGCATTTAAAATTTATTTTTTATTGATTTACTTTAGAGAGAGAAGGAAGAGAGACATCAATTTGGCTTCTTGTATGTGCTCTGACCAGGAATCAAACCCACAACCTTGGCGTATGGAGACAATGCTCTAACCACCTGAGCTATCTGGACAGGACCTGTTAGTTAGCGTTAAATGCATTGTCTGTCACCCTGACCAGGTGGCTCACCTTTATTCTTTTTTTTTTTTTTTATAATATATTTTATTGATTTTGTACAGAGAAGAAGGGAGAGAGATAGAGAGTGAGAAACATCAATGAGAGAGAGTCATCGATCAGCTGCCTCTTGCACACCCCCTACTGGGGATATGCCCGCAACCAAGGTACATGCCCTTAACCGGAATCGAACCCGGGACCCTTCAGTCCCCAAGCCGACGCTCTATCCATTGAGCCAAACCGGTCTCGGCTCACCTTTATTCTTTACTTCTAATTTCCAAGGGCCCTTCTTTTGCCTCTATCACTTGTTTCCTAAGCCCATTTCTTGTACAAATTACTTTTACTTCTGTATAGTTTGAGTCATGGCTCTGAATTGTTTCCTTGCCAGAGAACTCAAGTAGTGAGGTTGCTGAACTCAGGTCTGGTCTAACCCCTCTGGTCTTAACAGCTGGTGGTGTTCCACTACTGCCAACAGGTGTGAATTTCAGAGGGCACACACTGCAGTGTGAAAAATGATTCCCTTTTCATTTTCCTTTAGTCTTAAAAAAAAAAAATCTTTCCGAAAAAAATCTTTCTGATTATGTTCAGCAGAAAGTTGGTTTGACAACTAACACTTGGCATCTAACTTTAAAGCAAAATCAAGGTCAAGTGCTTTAAACAAACAATAGATAGCTTGGCCAGGCATGGCTCAGTGGTTGAGTGTTGACCTATGAACCAGGAGGTTGAGGTTTGATCCCAGGTCAGGACATATGCTGGAGGCAACTAATCAATGATTCTCCCTCATTGATGTTTCTATCTCTCGTTCCCTCTCCCTTCCTAAAAATCAATAAAATTGTATTTAAAAAACAAACAATAGATACAAATTAATAACTTGTTTCCTTTGACCTTAGTTCCATTGTACTCTTTTATGGCAAGGGATAATGAATTTCTATTGGTAGTACTAATATAAAATTTCTTCTCAGACATGTTTAATTACTTGCATATGCATAGAATACCTTTGAAAGGAAGTACAAAAAACTGATATTGCTGCCTTCAGGGTCTCTTTCTGGGTGGCTAGGGGAAGAGAGGGAAAATTTTTATGCTCTTCTGCATAAAAATTTTAATTTTGTGACCCCCAAATGAAGAGAAAACAACTAATAGCGCAGGTGGTAGGGAGAATATGGCAAAAAACATGACGGCCTTAAGAGAATAAATGAAACTACAGAAACTAACAGGAGGAAAGAAAAGCAAATTTCTAGGAGAAACCCGGGAATGGGGTGACCAAGTACCACCCATCGGCTCAGTAAGACTTGGTCCCTGTGGCTAAGGAGATCAGAATGCGCATGCGCATAGCCTCAGCCCGGTTGGTCCCTTTGCCGGGGAATTCCATCTGCGCGTGCGCATAGCCTCGGCGATCATTGGTCACTGTGACTAGGGAGATTGGTCTGCGCATGCGCCTAACCTCCAACCATCCATTTCTGCGAAGGTACGCTCCACCCTCCGCCGAGAGCGGGTAGAACGGCGCCGACGTGCGGAGGTCCCGCCCCGCCCCTTGTGGTCTGCGAATCCCGTGGCTCCGAGGCCGGGGTTGTCTAGGCGCCGGAGGTGGTGCCCTGGCCGGCGGGGAAGTTGCGGGAGGCCGGGCTGGGCGCGGAGTGCGGCCCCTCAGAAGACGGCCGGGCTGAGTCCGGTCCGGAGGCGGCGGACGCCGCGGAGGAGATGGAGGCTGGGAGGCCGCGGCCGGTGCTGCGCTCGGTGAACTCGCGCGAGCCGTCCCAGGTCATCTTCTGCAACCGCAGCCCGCGCGTCGTGCTCCCCGTGTGGCTCAACTTCGACGGCGAGCCGCAGCCCTACCCCACGCTGCCGCCGGGCACGGGCCGCCGCATGCACAGCTACCGAGGTAGGGTCGCCGGTTCGCGCTCCGGCCGCGCCGCCCCCTTGGCGCTGAGCTGGGCCCCGCGCTCTAGGCCTGACACAGCAGCGGCGGCGGCACGAACTCCTCCAATGCCCTCCGCCATCCCGGGAGGCCGGTGCCGTTGTCATTATTGTTCCCGTTTACGGCCCCAAAATGATAGGGACAGATCCAAGTTGACGCTGCTACTCAGTGGTAGGCATTCTTCTTTATAAAACTGACTAATTTGCATTCGTTGGTGGCTTTCCCCCGACCCCCTTCCACGTGTTGTTACCTTAAAAGCAGTGCTCCAGCCGAAACCGGCTTGGTTCAGTGGACAGAGCGTCGTTCTGCGGACTGAAAGGTCTTGGGTTCGATTCCGGTCAAGGGCATATACATTGGTTGCGGGCACATCCCCGGTGGGGGGTGTGCAAGAGGCAGCTGGTGGATGTTTCTCTCTCATTGACGTTTCTAGCTCTCTGTCTCTCTCTTCCTCTCTGTGGAAAATCAATAAAATATATTTAAAAAAAAAAAAAAAAAAGCAGTGCTCCATCCCTAATGCCCACTGGTTCAGTCCCTGAATGGGAGAATTTCACATTCTTCCATGTCCTCAGTGGGCCAGGCGCCCTGTCTGCACAGAGAACACAGCCAGCGTCAAATTTGCTGCGATGGGAACAGCACAGAGGATTGCGGGAACTGGCGGCCGGCTTCTGCTCAGTGAGGGGGCGGCGGCGGCGGCGGTGGTGGTGGGAGTGGTGGGTACACGTGTGGTTTCAACTACGAAGAGCTTCTCAGAGAGAAAAAAGGGAGTCCTTCCCGCAGGATGAATGGGAGCTACCAACCCAAGACAGTTGTAGGCAGAGGGGACCACATGGGCTGAAGGAGAAGAAGGGATGGAACGGTGGGAGGGGAAGCCCTAAAGGCGATTTTGCCTCTAGAGAAATGGGAGCCGTGGAAGGCTTTCCAGCAGGGACGCGACATTGTCAGATTTACACTCCGAAAAGCTCACTCAGGTTGGGTTGCAAAGTGTTTTCGGGGGAAGGCTGCTGTGGTGGAACCAGTTAGGAAGCTGTTGCAATGACCGAGGGGAAGATTAGGTCTTATTGCCTAAAGAGGTAGTAACCTCCCAATGGCTTTCAAGAAGAAAGTAGTCCTAGGCTCCCTTAATTTTCACAACCATAGAAATAGACTCAGACACAGAGAACTGAAGGGAGGAGAGTTGGGGAGGGGGGTGCTGGGTGAAAAAGTTGAAGGGGTTTAGAAGTACAAATTGGCAGTTATAAAATAGTCACAGATATGCAAAGTACAGCATAGGGAATATCTTCTCCTATATAATAAAAGGCTAAAATGCAAATTGTCCCTTCCACCGGATTCGACCAGGGTGTGGGGCTGGCTGTCCAATCAACTGCAGCCCCTCTCCCTGATGGCCCCCTACCCACCTGGATTGGAGGCAGGCAGTGGCCAACCTCCCACGTCCCCTCCTCTGGCCAGGTCCCTATCTGGTCAGGCCGGCCCCACCCCACCTGTGCATGAATTCGTGCACCTGGTCTCTAATAGTCAATAATCTATATATATAAAAGCCTAAGTGGCTGTTACAACAGAACGATCAGTTGCTATGACACGCACTGACCACCAGGGGGCAGATGCTCAGTTCAGGAGCTTCCCCCAGCCCACAGGCCCGATCACTGATAGGGCCTGCTGGCCAACCTCCTGGTCCCTCTCCCTAGCCAGCAGGCCCCGATTGCCCGATTGGGGCTGGGCCCTGGGCTGGGATGGGTGGTGGCAGATGTGGGCAGTGAGGGAAGGAAGGGGGGGGAGGGGAGGCAGGGAACCTGATCGGTCCAGATTGCCAGCCAGGCCTAGGGACCACACCATGCACGAATTCCATGCATCAGGCCTCTAGTACTGTAATAACTATGTATTGTGCCAGGTGGCTGGTATGGCTCAGATGGTTGAAGCAAGTGTTTCCTGTGCATCAAAGGTCAAGATTTGATTCCCAGTCGGCATATACCTGGGTTTCAAGTTTGATCCCCGGTCGATGTGTGTGGGAGACAACTGATCAATGTTTCTCTCCTTCCTCTCTCAAAAAACAAAATAAAACAAAACAAAAACAATAGAAACATATCCTTGGGTCAGGATTAATATATGTATAAATATATATATTACCAGGTGAATATACTTAATGTCACTGAACTATACACTTAAAATGGTTTAAATGGTCAATTTTATGTTATGTATATTTTACACAATAAAATATGACCACTTTACATTTCTTAAATTTTCATATCAAATCTTCAAGTAAGTTTATGTCCCAGGAACACAAGCTGTATTTTTTATGAGAGATACCTCCTCCCTCCTTAAACAGAATTTAGCCTAGAGGTTTGCGCATCTCTCTCTCTCTCTCTCTCTCTCTCTCTCTTGCATGTGATTATTTGTTTCTCATTCAGGAGTAAATTACATACAGTATAAGTGTACAGATCTTAGGGTTTGATGTGTTTTGACTAATGTAGCAACACCTAGATCAAGTTACAGATTAGAACATGTCTGTCACCCCAGAAAGCACCCTTTTGTTCCTTCCCTTCCAGAGGCAACCACTCTTCTGATTTTTTGTATCATAGATTGGTTTCCTCTGTTCCGGCAAACGTTCGCTTTCTATCTGGCTTTTTCTCTCAACATGGTGTTTTAGCACCTTCTTTTTTTATTTTTTATTTGTTTATTAAATTATTATCTGTGTACATATACCATTGGCACCTTTTTTAAAGTCTTCATCCGAGGAATGAGGATATTTTTCCATTGATTTTCTAGAGAAAATGGGAGGGAAGAGGAGGGGGAGAAAAAAACATGGATGTGAGAGAGACAGATCGATTGGTTGCCTCCCACATGCTTCTGATGGGGGTGAGGAGTGGGACTGGGGTGGGAGGGGGTTCTGAGAGGATTGGGGTTGGGCTGAGGATCAGACCTGTAATCCAGGTATGAGCCCTTGACTGGAATAGAATCCTCCACCCTCTGGTGCGCAGGCCATGCTCTTACCATTGAGCCACACCGGCCAGGACTGCATCTTCTTGTTTTTGAGAAACACAGATTTGAGGAGTCAGTGACCTCCTCTCCTTTAGTTTGCAGTGTTGTGACTTGCTTTTCCTCCGTGGCAGAAGGTAGGGATAGGGTTTGGAGCTTCAGGTTCATGCCCTTCTATTTACTGACCCTGTTGCCTTGAGCAAGTCACTTGGCTTTTTCAGACCTATTTTCTCATCTGTAAATGCATCTATTGTGAGGATTGAGTAAGCTAATAAATATTATGATGTTTTGCATGACACTTAAGCAGAATGGCAAGTATTTCATTATCAGTCCAGGATGATGAAGCAAATGGGTGTGTCCCTACTTACCAGCTTCTGCTTGTATTAACAGGTCACCTTTGGCTCTTCCGAGATGCTGGGACATATGATGGGCTTCTGGTAAACCAAACTGAACTATTTGTGCCATCTCTCAATGTTGATGGACAGCCTATTTTTGCCAACATCACACTACCAGGTACTGTTATTCCATTTTACTCCCCTCCCCCCCCCCCCCCCCCCGTCTTACTTTTTAAAAAGATAAGGCTGTTATAAGTACAGGAAAGGGTTGGTAAGGTATGTACACATATAATACCTTAATTTAAAAAAAATGAGAAAAATATAGAGGAAAGGGCACTTACAGGAGCCAAGCCCTTACTGATTTTCTCCTGATGCTCACTAGGTTTTCAACCTTCCTGTGTCCTATTCTCCACCACAGATAAAATGGAAGTAATGTGTTTGTAGGCTCTGTATTGAGCAAAGGTGTTGTGGTGTTTCAAAAGCTCTTTGGGACAGGCCAGTGTGGCTCAGAAGTTGAATGTCAACCTATGAAACACGAGGTCATGGTTTGATTCCCCATCCGGGAACATGCTTGGGTTGTGGGCTCGATCCCCATTAGGGGATGTGCCAGAGGCAGCTGATCAGTGATCCTCTCTCATTGTTGATATTTCAATCTCTCTCTCCCTCCCTCTTCTCTGATATATATAAATATACATATATATATATATATTCATATTCATATTCATATTCATATTTTTTTTAAGCTCCCTGGCCCTGGCTGGTGTGGCTCAGTTGGTTGGGCATCATCCTGTGTACCCAAAGATTCCCGTCAGGGCAAATGCTGGTTTTTCAGGCTCCATCCCCAGTGTGCAGAGACAGCCTGTCCATGTTTTGCTATCACATCGATGTTTCTCTCTCTTCCTCTCCCTTTCTCTCTCTCTAAAAAAATTAAAATATCTTTGGGCTTGTCAGAGTTGGGTTAAATTAAAATATCTGATTGTAGACTTATGAATGCATTTTGTTACCCTGGTCTTGGAGCAGAATTATGCCTTGGAGTTTCAGAAGAACAAAGTATAGGAGATTGATATTAAGCACTTGTTTATATGACTTCTGGTGTTGTATTTTTTAATGTTATTTAACCCAGTCAAACTCAGTGCAATCAGGGATTTAAAAAAATAACTTAATTGAACATTAGCCTCATAGTGATTAAGTTGAACCTGCCGATGTGGCTCAGTGGTTGAGCATCATCCTGTGAACTAGGAGGTCATTGTTCAATTCCTGGTCAGGATACATACCCAGATTGTGGGCTCGATCACCAATAGGGGGCATGCAGAAGATAGCTGATCAATGATTCTATCCCATTGATGTTTCTATTATAGCTCTCCCTCTCCCTTCTTCTCTCTAAAATCAGTAAAAACATATATATATATATATATTTTTAAAAGAAACTGATGTTCTTGTGGGATTAAAAAACATTACCACATTAAGTATTTGCATCTTTATAAGGTTCAGGCTAATATATAGATCCTGTTTTAAAGAAGTGGGTATACAAAAATGATCATTGATAAATTAAATGAAGTACCCTTAGAGAGTAAGTAAAATCAGATTTCAGTTCCTCCAAATTCAGTTATATACTGTTTTGGTTACTTATTGCTATTTTAATAACTACCCCAAAACTAACAACAACCATTTGATTTGTTCATAATTCTGCACTCTGGACTGAGTTCAGCTAGGTGTTTATTCTGCTCATTGGTGTCATTGGTGTGTCTGCCTTCTCCTGGCATGTTGGCTGAGGGCTAGTCTTCTCTCCTATGTAGTCTCAGTGCCTATCCCTCTTTGTATGGCCTGTCCTGCAGGGTAACTCAGGGCTTCTGAGAGGGTAAAAGTGGAAGTTGCTTAAGGCTTAGACTCAAAATTGCCACAGTGTCACTTTACCCACATTCAGTTATTAAAGCACATGACAAGCCCAGCCCACTTTCTTTTTCTTTTTAAAATATATTTTATTGATTTTTTACAGAGAGGAAGGGAGAGAGATAGAGCATTAGAAACGTCGATGAGAGAGACACATCCCACTGGGGATGTGCCGGCAACCAATGTACATGCCCTCGACCGGAATCGAACCCGGGACCCTTCAGCCGCATACCAACGCTCTACCACTGAGCCAAACCGGTTTCAGCAAGCCCAGCCCACTTTCAAGGGGAAGTTAGTACACAAGGTTATGAATACCATGAAATGCCGATTGGGACCATCATATTACATTCTGCCACAATACATGTACTCACTTTTTTAATTTTTATTTTTTTGCCCAAAAGAGATCCATCTGTAGTAAATGTAATTGCCATTGTTGGCAAAGCCTCTTGCTCATCCCTTGTCGGAAGGCCTGCCGAATTTCACTGCTGAAGATTCGGTTTTCTGCCCTTACAGTGTATACCCTAAAAGAGCGATGCCTTCAGGTTGTCCGCAGCCTCGTCAAGCCTGAGGATTACAGGAGACTGGACATTGTGAGATCACTCTACGAGGATCTGGAAGACCACCCAAATGTGATGAAAGACCTGGAGCGGCTGACACAGGAGCACATTGAAAATCAGCGGATGGAAGAGGATTTACACTGAAATATGTACTCCTAAGTCTTAGCTGTGGATGGAATGGGCTAGTCTTAATCTAGATACAGGACTGGTCACTTATGCTCAGTGTCAAGGTCTCATTCTTAGAGTAAAATAAGCTCCATTGCTTAAAAGAAAATTAACTGACTTCACTAGGTATTGTGATGTTTAGGGGCCAACATCACAAAATGTTACGTCCGCCCTCTTTAGAAGTGTTCGTGAAGGGAAAGTAGCTGCCTCTTTGTGAGTCAGGAGAGGGTAAGAACCTTTGTGTAAGTAATTCAGTGAGAATTATAGCATATTCGTTGATTGTAAGAAAGCAGTGGCATCTGCTTTTAATTGCTGTATTGTGGCTGGTGATATGTCTGCCTCCTGCTTTGAGAAGACTGAGATGTCCTTGAGGCAGGGACAAAACTGTCTGCTCTCTGAGACCCCAGTGCCTCTCACATTATGAGCCTTCATCTGTGTTTGTTGAATGAACAAACCAGTGGATATTTTGATAGAAAGTATTTGGAAGGTTTGCCATTTTTTGCAGGGGGAAAATAGGGGAACTTAAAGTGTATACAGTATATAAATGTTTTAAAGGGGATCATTTTTATAGAAAGCACTTTCAATAATTTTATAAATTTTGTGCTTTTTTTCTGTTCACTATTGTTCCAGTGCTGTCTTATTACTGTTTCTAAACCCGGATTAGCTTTTTTACAGTTACTGTGATGCAGTTACTCTTTTGAAACTTGACATCTACACAGAAGATGGAAGAAAGGAGCTGCCCTCTTGTTTAACCTTAATAAGAAGGAGATACTACCATACTGTGAATAGGTCTCTGCCAAGTGTGGGTATTTCTGTTTCTTTTTGTAAATCCGTGACATTTCTGTTTGGTTCAACATTTTTCATCCGGCAGGATATGGTGACACTTAGCACAAAGCCCTAGCAGTTCTGGGAAGTTCCTGCTCACACACAGTGGATTCAGAGAGTAGCCTGGAATGTTTTATAGTTTTATACTTCCTCATAGGCTGGACTTACATTCATTCAGTACTTCTATCCGGCTTCCTTTTGTATAATAGTTTGAAAAAATCAGTAGAGAAACTTTTGGAAAAGCAAAAAATAAAAGGAAGAAAAAGATCACTGCAGATAAACTATTTAAATACAATCACTAACTTAACATTTTGAATTTTCAGCCCCTTTTAGGGCAACTTTTGGTTTGGTTTGACACAGTGGAGGTTATATTGTACACACACTTTTGTATTCTTTCTCATTTAACTTTATAACTTATAGCTTAAGTATCTTCTATGGCATCTTTATAAGCTCTCCATAGACATTACTATACTCTGTCTTGTAAATAATGTTGGTTCATTTCTTGGCATCTGTAGTTCCTGTGCTAACCTTTGAGCACAATTCCTGAGCTCTGCAGAACGAAGTGAATGAGACAAACACCCCACGGTTGTCTCATTATACATTAAGTTTCACCCATTCCGGTTCTCCTCTTCAGCATTCAGCAGAATAGTTGGCTTTTAGGCCGCTCCGAGAGAGAAGAGCGTGTTGTAGTACTTATTCGGTGATATACTTAAAAATCTAATTTTTTTATGCAGGGTAGAAGGAATGCTGGTATAGAAGGTAGCAACGTGAGTTCCATGGTTAGATGGGGTGGCATTTAAGGAAGTCTGCTGGTGCTGGATTAGTTTGATGTTGGTGTTATTTTATTTTTAACCTGTCTGTCAAAATGAGATTTCATGTTCCAGTTGTTAAAACATGCAATTTTGAGTACTGTGTTTTTTGTGTTGTCCAAGGAAGATTGAAAATCTGTAGCATGAATAATATGTTTTTTGTTTGAAGTCTTATGAATGTATTAAATGTATTAAAAGACTATGTTGTTTCCTATTTTGAGTTTAAAAAACCTTTTTAATAAATGGTGCTAAGTAAAGGAAACGGGGAGGTGTGTTTGGTGTTATTTAACAAGGCTCTTCTCTGGGAGAGAACTGACAGCCATGGTTATTTAAAGGCGTAAGGTGGGGAGGGAGTAGCAGGCACAAGCAATTCACTTTATTCTCAGTTCCTTCTCTTTACAACACTGTTTTTGTTGTTTTTTAAACCATTGTTTATTTTAACTATTTTTTCTAATAAATATGCGATATCACTAAAAATTGTTAAGCACTACTGAAAAGTATTAAGAAAAATACTTAGGATGGAAAAAAGCTTTTTGTGTTTTTGTTTGTTTTTTCATGAAAACAGAACCAACCTTAACAGATTCCTCACTGAAGAAGGTACACAGCTCTGGCCATAGCTCAGCTGATTAGTGTCCTCCGACATGCCAAGGTTGAAGATTGCATCCCTGGTCAGGTGACATACAGAAATCAATCAATGAATGCATACGTGAGTAGAACAACACGTTGATGTTTCTCTCTCTCCCCCCTTCCTGTCTCTCTAAAATAAATTTAAAAAATAAATAAAAAGAGAATACACAGATAGCAACTAAGCATGTGAAAAGATGCTTCACATCAGGGAAACGAAAATTGAAATAAGATACCACGAGGCACTATTAAGAAGGCCACACTCTGTGGTACAACACCAAAAGCTGGCAAGGTTAAACACTGTTACCATACTATCCACCGATGGCACTCCTTAGTATTTACTCAAAGGAGTTCAAAAATTAACATTGAAAACCCTGCACATGGGTATTTATAACAGTTTTATTCATAATTGCCAAAACTTGGAAGCAACTAAGATGTCCTTCAGTAGGTGATAAATAAAATATGGCACATCCAGACACTATATATATATTTTAAAGTCGATTTTAAAGAAAGGGAGAGTGAGAGAAACTGGTTTGTTGTTCCACTTATTTATGTACTCGTTCTTATAAGTGCCTTGACTAGGGATGGAACCAGCAACCTTGGCGTATTGGTTCGATGCTCTAACCAGCAGAGCTACGCAGCCAGGGCACACACTGGACTCTTCCGCAGTCAAGAGAAATGAGCCGGCCACCGTGAAAAGACACGGAAGGAAACAGACGTTTATTACTAAATGAAAGAAGCCAATGTAAAAAAGTCACATTCTGTATGATTCTGGGAAAGGCGGAATTATGATGTGAAAACATCCGTGGTTGCCAGGGCTTGAGGGGAGAGAGGAATGACCAGGCAGATCACAGGATTTTTTTAGGGCAGTGAAACTATCCTGTATGTTTCTATACATGTGCTATACTATATATTACACTACATGATCTATGACATCATACATTTGTCCAGGCCCATGGAATGTACAACACCAAGAGAGAACTCTGAACTATGGACTATGGGTAATAATGATGTGTCATTGTAGGTTCATTAATTACCACAAGTGTGTCACTCTGGTGGGGATTGTTGATAATAGAGGTGACTATATGTGAGGGCAAAAGGTGCATGGAAAATCCCTGTTCCTCTCAATTATGTTGTAAACCTAAAACTGCTCTTTAAAGTCTATTTAAAAAAGAACCAAAGTCGAGACCGGTGTGGCTCAGTGGATAGAGCGTCGGCCTGCGGACTGAAAGGTCCCGGGTTCCATTCCGGTCTAGGGCATGTGCCTTGGTTGCAGACACATCCCCAGTGGCGGGTGTTGCAAAAGGCAGTTGGTCGATGATTCTCTCTCATCGATGTTTCTAGCTCTCTATCCCTCTCTCTTCCTCTGTAAAAAATCAATAAAATATATTTAATAAATAAATAAAAAAGAACCCCTCCGCCCCCCCAAAAATGTAAGTAGTTAACATTTCACCAGTGCTTATATTGTAAAGGTAATAAAAGGCTGAAACCGATTTGGCTCAGTGGATAGGGCATCGGTCTGCAGACTAAAAGGTCCCAGGTTCGATTCCGGTTAAGGGCACATACCTTGGTTGCGGGCACATCCCCAGTGGAGGGTGTGCAGGAGGCAGCTGGTTGATATTCTCTCTCATCGATGTTTCTGCTCTCTATCCCTCTCCCTTCCTCTCTGTAAAAAATCAATAAAATATATATTAAAAAAAAAAAAAGAAGGTAATAAAAGGACAGGGCACTGGGTAGAAATCAATGTGTATTGAAAATATTAAATAGGTATTAATGTTTTGCACTCTGGACTTAGAAATACCAGTAAGAGCTTTCCAGATACTTAATTCTAGATTTCTGTGTATTAACATTCTATATATATAAATAATTGATTTCAGTGTGTGTGTGTGTGTATGTGTGTATATATATATATTTTTTTTTCATTGATTTTAGAGAGGAAGGGAAAGGAGAGAGAGATAGAAACATCAGTGATGAGAATCACTGATGGGCTGCCTTCTGCACATCTACTGGGGATCAAGCACGCAACACAGGCATGTACCCTTGATGGGGGAATTGAACCTGGGACCCTTCAGACTGCAGGCCAATACTATTCACTGAGCCTAACCAGCTAGGGCTGTCTTAGCATTCTTAGCACCTCAGTGTTACTCTGTGGTGGTCACAGTGCTGCCTGCTATCATGCCATTGTTTCTCATCAAAGTCCGGGGTTAAATTCCTGGCTAGGGAACATGCTTGGGTTTTGCGTTCAATCCCCAGTCAGGGTGCAAACAGGAGCCAACTGGTGAATGTGCTCTCCTCTGTTTTAAATGAATTTTATGTCCTTTACTCAAGGGAAACCCATCTATGTATCAGTGGAATACAGCGCCTTCCAAGCAGTGGAGTGCTCTTTCCTGTGAACTTCTCAGTGTCCTCAGTGGCAGCTGCCATTTTTTAAGTACATTGTCTGTGCAAGGAAGACCCTGGAACAGGCATTCTATTTGGCTGTCAATCCACTTCCCTGGCTCACAGCTCAGAGCAGTAGGGATGACTAGTCCCATTTTACAAATGTATAAAGCAAGGCTTGGGAAGTGAAATGCATTGTCCAGGGTCACAAAGCCCGTTGGTCGCAGAACTGGAACTTGGCCTTAGGACTTCTCATTTCATTCCAGGTCCCTTCTTCCGAGCCACAGTTCCATTGCTGATGTTTACAGCTGCAAAGTGGTACTCTTAGTTGTTGATCTGCCTTCAATGATGTTGTCTACACTCTTGAAACCTATTTACTTCTGTGTAAAAATGGGATAATATCTGTAGTATAGGCTTTTGAGAATTACATAAAATAATTTAGGCAGCCGAAACCGGTTTGGCTTTGTGGTAGAGGGTCGGTCTGTGGACTGAAGGGTCCCGGGTTGGATTTTGGTCAAGGGCATGTGCCTTGGTTGCGGGCACATCCCCAGTGGTTAACATTTCACCAGTGCTTATATTGTAAAGGTAATAAAAGGCTGAAACCGATTTGGCTCAGTGGATAGGGCGTCGGTCTGCAGACTAAAAGGTCCCAAGTTCGATTCCGGTTAAGGGCACATACCTTGGTTGCGGCACACCCCCGGTGGAGGGTGTGCAGGAGGCAGCTGGTTGATAATTTTCTCATCGATGTTTCTGGCTCTCTATCCCTCTCCCTTCCTCTCTGTAAAAAAATCAATAAAATATAATTTTTTAAAAAAAGGTAATAAAAGGACAGGGCACTGGGTAGAAATCAATGTGTACTTAAAATATTAAATAGGTATTAATGTTTTGCACTCTGCACTTAGAAATACCAGTAAGAGCTTTCCAGATACTTAATTCTAGATTTCTGTGTATTAGCATTCTCTCTCTCTCTCTCTCTCTCTCTCTCTCTCTCTCTCTATATATATATATATATATATATATATGATTGATTTCAGTGTGTGTGTGTGTGTATATATATATTTTTTTTTCCCATTGATTTTAGAGAGGAAGGGAAAGGGAGAGAGAGAGAGAAACATCAATGATGAGAATCACTGATGGGCTGCCTCCTGCACATCCCCTACTGGGGATCAAGCACGCAACCCAGGCATGTACCCTTGATGGGGGAACCGAACCCGGGACCCTTCAGACTGCAGGCCAATACTATTCACTGAGCCTAACCAGCTAGGGCTGTCTTAGCATTCTTAGCACCTCAGTGTTACTCTGTGGTAGTCACAGTGCTGCCTGCTATCATGTCATTGTTTCTCATCAAAGTCCGGGGTTAAATTCCTGGTTAGGGAACATGCTTGGGTTTTGCGTTCAATCCCCAGTCAGGGTGCATACAGGAGCCAACTGGTGAATGTGCTCTCCTCTGTTTTAAATGAATTTTATGTCCTTTACTCAAGGGAAACCCATCTATGTATCAGTGGAATACAGCGCCTTCCAAGCAGTGGAGTGCTCTTTCCTGTGAACTTCTCAGTGTCCTCAGTGGCAGCTGCCATTTTTTAAGTACATTGTCTGTGCAAGGAAGACCCTGGAGCAGGCATTCTATTTGGCTGTCAATTCACTTCCCTGGCTCACAGCTCAGAGCAGAAGGGATGACTAGTCCCATTTTACAGATGTGTAAAGCAAGGCTTGGGAAGTGAAATGCATTGTCCAGGGTCACAAAGCCCGTTGGTCGCAGAACTGGAACTTGGCCTTAGGACTTCTCATTTCATTCCAGGTCCCTTCTTCCGAGCCACAGTTCCATTGCTGATGTTTACAGCTGCAAAGTGGTACTCTTAGTTGTTGATCTGCCTTCGATGATGTTGTCTACACTCTTGGAACCTATTTACTTCTGTGTAAAAATGGGATAATATCTGTAGTATAGGCTTATGAGAATTATATAAAATAATTTAGGCAGCCGAAACCGGTTTGGCTCTGTGGTAGAGGGTCGGTCTGTGGACTGAAGGGTCCCGGGTTGGATTTTGGTCAAGGGCATGTACCTGAGTTGCGGGCACATCCCCATTTGGGGGTGTGCAAGAAGCAGCTGGTCGATGATTCTTTCTCATCAACATTTCTAGCTCTCTATCTCTCTCCCTTCCTCTCGGTAAAAAATCAATAAAATATATTAAAAAAAATAATTTAGGCAAAGCACACTATTAAGTTGTAGTGTTTATTATAGTATAATAGTTATTTTATTAAAGAGGGAGTTTGTAGCCAGTGGTCAGACTGCTAGGTTTTAAATCTCAGCTCTGCCTCTTAGTACCTGAATGAGTTTAAACAAGTTATTTAACTTCTCTGTGCCTCAGTTTCCTCCTCTGTAGAATGGGGATAATCACCACACCTTCCTACCTCTTGGAGTCATTGTGAGGAATAAGTGAAATAACCCAGGTGAAGTCTGTTCAATAAACTCTAGTCATTATTTTGTATAAGTTCTCCTCAGACCCTATTTGATAATTCAATTTGCCTCACAGTCCCTCTTACCATAGTCCTCCACTAATATTGGTCACATTAACAGATAATGAATATGAGAAAATATGCAATCAGCCTCCCCCACTCCCTTTCATTATACTCTACTTTTGTTCTCTAACATTACCTATCATCTTAATACTGTTATTTTATATTTAAAATTTTTAAATCTTTATTGTCGAGAATATTACATATGTTCCCCTCCCCCCTACTTATTTTTCATTTTTTAAAAAATTTATTGATTTTTTACAGAGAGGAAGGGAGAGGGATAGAAAGTTAGAAACCTTGATGAGAGAGAATCATTGATCAGCTGCCTCTTGCACACCCCCCACTGGGGATGTGCCAACAACCAAGGTACATGCCCCTGACCGGAATTGAACCTGGGACTTTTCAGTCTGCAGGCTGACGCTCTATCCACTGAGCCAAACCGGTTTAGGCTTATTTCTCATTTTTTAAAAAATATATTTTATTGATTTTTCACAGAGAGGAAGAGAGAGATAGAGAGTTAGAAACATCGATGAGAGAGAATCATCGATCAGCTGCCTCTTGCACACCACCTACTGGGGATGTGCCCGCAACCAAGGTACATGCCCTTGCCCGGAATCGAACCCAGGACCCTTCAGTCCGCAGGCTGACGCTCTATCCACTGAGCCAAACCGGTCCCGGCTATTTCTCATTTTTATTGCTTACTGTCTGTCTCTCTCCCTGGCAGGGATTTTGTTTAGAGATATCCCCAGCACCTGGCACATAGTAGCTGCTCAAACAAAAATTAGCCATTATTGTGATAAAGTCTACCTTGGCTAGTCCTCCCCCTCATAGTTCTGAATTCCTAATTTCCCTTAGTCAAATTCCCTTTTGCTTTTTGGCAATGGCACTTATTATGTTTTAACGAACTATGAAATATACTTATTCAGTATTTTGATTAGTGATTCTGCTTCCTCCTCATCACCCCGGTCTAGGGTGTAAGTATCATGAAATCGAGGACTTTTTTTTTTTAATTGATTGATTTCAGAGAGAGGAAGGGAGAGAGAGAGTTAGAAACGTCGATGAGAGAGTCATTGAGCCACACCTGCCAGACTTTTACAGGTTTTCTCTACTTAGGTACCTCCAACCCCTAGAAGAATGCCTGAATTATATGTGGCAGAGCGCCCAAAGCACTGGAAGTGGAGTCAGAAGGTCTCCTAGGACCGACCGAGAATTCTCGGATGGCCTTAACAGAGTTTCCTCCCTACCCTGGGCCTCCGTTTCCCCTCCCAACTCCTACCCTCTTGGTTTGCTTCCTAGCAGCTCTGGTCCCTCCAGCCTGACGGCGCCGCGCCGCCCATGGCCGCTAGGGGGCAGTGTGTCCAGCGCAGGCCCCGCCCACTTCCAGGGGGCGGGGCGCGGGGGCGGGACGGCCCGCCCCGGAGTTTAAAAGCCGATTCCCCCCGGCGCCGGGCTCAGAGTCCCGGGAACTCCCGCCGGCCCTCCCGTGCGGCCATGTCCTGCTACATCTACCAGCTGCCCTCCTGGGTGCTGGACGACCTGTGCCGCAACATGGACACGCTCAGCGAGTGGGACTGGATGCATTTCGGTGAGTGGCCCCTCGCGACCCCGCCGGCCGGCTGGGAGGCCCCTCCCAGCGGGGCCCGCTCCGAGGGGCTCTGCCCCGCCTCCCGCCGGCGCCCGCAGGCCGGCCACAGGCCCCTCGCTGGCCCCGGGCGACCTTCGGGGGGCGCTGTGTGGTCCCCGAAGTTCCCGCCGTCCCTGGGTCCTTCGCGAAGTCATGCCGCCGGCCGTGCCGTTCGGCTGGGGCAGCGGCTGTGAATCACCGGGGTGCGGGCTCTGGAGTGAGCACCGGGCAGGGGTCATCTGTCCCCTTTAGTCCCACAGCCTGAAAAGGGCCTATTTCCCTCACCCCGTTTTACAGCGGAGGGAGCGGATTTAGAAAGGGAGCCCAAACCGGTTTGGCTCAGTGGATAGAGCGTTGGCCTGCGGACTGAAAGGTCCCGGGTTCGATTCCGTCCAGGGCATGTACCTTGTTTGCAGCACATCCCCAGTGGGGAGTGTGCAAGAGGCAGCTGATGGTTGATTCTCTCTCGGTGTTTCTAACTCTCTCTTCCTCTCTATAAAAAAAAAAAAAAAAAAAAAAAAAAAAATCAATAAAATATTTTTTTAAAAGAAGAAAAAAAAGAAAGGGAGGTCACTTGCCAGGACCCTGGCCTTGCAAAGTGGCAGAATGGCATTAGAAGGCCCGGTCAGCCCCCCCAGGACATTGTAACTCCTTGGCGTGTTTTGTTTGTTTGTGCCCGATGATTGGCTGAGAGCACTTGGCATCCAGGGGGAGGCTGGGCTTGTTGATGCTCAGGTTCCCAAACAGAGGTCTGCAGTTCAGCTGGTGATTTGGGGGGAGTTGCTTAACTTCTCTGAGCCTCAGCTTTTTAATCTGTAAACTGGATGGTGTGAGGAACAAAAAATTGTTTAGTTGATTTTAGCGAGGGAAAGGAAAGGAGGGAGGGTGAGAAGGAGGGAGAACGAGAGAGAGAGAGAGAGAGAGAGAGAGAGAGAGAGAGAGAGAGAGAGAGATTAGTTGTTCCACTTATTTATGCATTCTTTGGTTGCTTCTTGTATGTGCCCTGACCTGAGATCTAACCGGAAATCATGGTATATCAGACTGTTCTCTAACCACCTGAACCACCTGGCCAGGGCCAAGGAATAAAAATTGTCTAAAAGGCACCTGACACCTAAGGGTCAGAAATTCTAGAGATTCTTGTAGTAATAAGGTGTTAACAATGATCATCTTAGTTTTATGTTTTAATCAGTGTTAACAAAGATCATCTTAATTTTATGTTTTAATCTAAAATCAATTAAACATGCCACTTTATTTTCAAAATAATATTTATCTGTTCTTTAAAATTTATAACATATATTCTTTATACAAGAGTATATAAAATATATGTACAGTTGAGAGAAATGAACATGTGTGTGTTACTCATCTAGTTTGAGCAAATAATATATATTTTAACCTAGCGGTTCTCAAACACAGGTGATTTTGCCCCTTAGGAACATTTGCCAATGTCTGAAGACATTTTTGGTTTGACAGAACTTGGAAAATGCAGTGGGTAGAGGCCAGGTATGTTGCTAAACATCCTAGAATGCACAGGATGTTCGCCCTCCACAAAGAATTACCCATCCTGCCCTGGCCACTGTGGTCCAGTTGGTTGGACGTCACCCAGTGCAAGGAAAGGTTGCTGGTTTGATTCTGGTCATTGTGGGCTCCATCCCTGTAGCAGGAGGCAGCAGATCCATGTCCTACTCTCACATCAGTGTTTCTCTCTCTCAAAATTAATTTTTAAAAAAATCTATTTTTTTAAAATATATTTTATTGATTTTGTACAGAGAGGAAGGGAGAGAGATAGAGAGCTAGAAACATCGATGAGAGAGAGTCATCGATCAGCTGCCTCTTGCACACCCCCTACTGGGGATATGCCCGCAACCAAGGTACATGCCCTTGACCGGAATCGAACCCGGGTCCCTTCAGTCCCCAAGCCGACGCTCTATCCATTGAGCCAAACAGGTCTCGGCAATTTTTTTAAAAAATCTTAAAAAGTTCAAGAATTATCTAGCCCAAAGTATCAATAATGCTGAGGTTCAGAAACTGCTTTAAACCAGTAACAAAAATAATAAATGTTTGTTGCAAACTGAGTTCAAATTCCACCACTCAGGGCTATCCATTTTTAATATTGGAAACCCCTGAATAGCACCAGAGTGGTAGGTGTTTTATGTAGGCTAGCCTTTTTTCTAAACATACTCATTTATGTGTATACATTTTTCAAAAATCACGTCATTTTGAACATTGCAATAGCCTGCTTTTTCACTTATAAAATACATTCCAATCATTTCTCTTTGCCAAGCAATATTCTTTAGCAGCATGGATTTATTTTCGGTGTGTATTTTTTATTAAGTATTTTTAATGGATAAAAACAACAAATGCGCTAGGGTAAGTAATACATCTAAGATAGAAGAAGGTAAATATCTTTCCACTTCCTGGTCCTCAGCCTCCCTGTTCTCCTTAGGGACAGTCAGTGGTGCCTTGTCAGGGCAACTTCGAGAATGTCTGTTACTACCTGATTTTCTTTGCTTGGATGCTCTGTAATTTAACTGCTTTGAGTATTTCCCGGGCAGTGGACAAACTTTGTAAGAGACTCCCTCCGGTTTTTTCCACGTTGGCCTCAATTGTGAATGCCAGAACAACTTCTGTTTTCTAGGAAATGCACTTACAAGGCACATATAGTAAAACTGAAATGATATAGAGAAGGGCCCTTCTGCAAGGATGACACCCAGACTTATGAAGCATTCAATATTTAAGAGAAAAATAAAGTGTACAGTGCATCTTTAATTTCTCCTGGACAATACTGTAAATATAAAACCTAAAGATGAGTTTAGATGGTTTCAATCGTATAAGTTCTTCTAATTCTAGATTAGTCTTTTTCAAGTGTCACTTATCAGGCATAGTTCTGAAATGCTGATAACATAAGTAAGAGGTATCTGGATTTCTTAATATTTATAATTATATTACCCAAGGATGGGAGGGAGTGTTGAAGTTTAAATTCTAACTCTGTATCTACCTAATCCTATATAATAAAAGGCTAATATGCAAATCGACTGAACGGTGGACCCACCAGTTAGGGTGCAGCTCCTGCATTGAGTGTCTGCCCCTTGGTGGTCAGTATGCATTATAGCAACCAGTTGTCATCCCCTGAGGGGTCCCAAACTGGGAGAGGGCAGAGGCTGGGCTGAGGCACCCCCCTCCCTCCAGTGCTCAAATGCCATACACCAGGCCTCTAGTCTACCTAATAAAAGAGTAACATGCTAATTGACCGTACCTTCGCTATGCTCACCAGCCAATTAAGAGTGAGTATGCAAATCAACCCAATAAAGATTGTCGGTTAATTTGCATACATGGGTGCTTGAGCAGCTGGCATCTCCAGGCCTCTGAGCAGTTCGGGAAGGCGGGAAGGCGGAAAAGTCAGGGAAAGGAAGGCCAATTCTGGCAGGAATCTTCGTGCATCGGGCTTCTAGTTTTAGAAAAAAATCTCTTCAGGTACTTGATTGAAGTACCAAAAAACATTTCCAAAAAGTGATAGTTTTAAGTTATCCCAAAAATGTCTTAGATTAGGTTAAGGTTCTAAGTGACATCAGAATTCAGTACAAAAGTATTTACTATGAAGTATACTTCTCACAGATATATTTTCAGTTTCAGCCCAACAGTTAAAACATCTTTTTTTTAAAAAAAATAACTGTATAAATACATTAAAAAATGTGAGAGAGGTCCATTTTGTAATCTTAATTCAAATGAGATTTCTACAGTTGGATTTTGCATCTGATATCTGGTCGGACTTTAGAGCCATTGTGTTAATATATTTTTTTAATTTTTAAAAAAATATATTTTATTGATTTTTTACAGAGAGGAAGAGAGAGGGATAGAGAGTTAGAAGCATCGATGAGAGAGAATCATCCATCAGCTGCCTCCTGCATACCCCCCACTGGGGATGTGCCTGCAACCAACGTACATGCCCTTGACTGGAATCGAACCCAGGACCTCTCAGTCCGCAGGCTGACGCTCTATCCACTGAACCAAACCGGCTTTGGCTAGAGCCATTGTGTTAAAAAAAAAAAAAATACCATATGTAACAAGGAAAAGGTGCTTTTTCCTTTTAATTCCTTTTATCGATATGGATTTTTTTCAAATTGACTAAAGGATCAAAATGAAAGCTTGTTAATGTAACAATTACTGAACTTGTTTTTTGTTAGAAATGTTAATGTAATAAATATCAATGTGGGAGATAATAGTAAAATAAGTAAAGTGTACAGTTCGGTGGCAGTTAGTATTTGAGAGTTGCACATCCCTCTCCACAATCCATCTTAGAACATTTTAATTACCCTCAACAGAAACCTGTTCTCCTTAACTGTCTCCCCCACATTCCCACACACCTATGGCTTTAGGCATTGTTTAATCTGAACATTTTATATAAGTGTAATCACACAATATGTGATTCTTTGCGAATGACTTTTCCTTTAGCATGTTTTCAAGGTGCATCATGTTGTAGCATGACCAGTGCTTCATTTCTTTTTATTACTGAGTGATATTCCATGGTATGGATATGCTGCATTTTATCTACCTAGATATCAGTTGATGGACTTTTGGGTTCTTTCCCCTTTTTGACTATTGCGAATAATGTTCCTGTGCACATTGATGTGCAAGTCTTTGTGTGGACATGTTTTCGTTTCCCTTGGGTAGCTATCTTGGGAGTGGAATTACTGAGTCATCGGCTAACTCCACATTTAACGTTTTGAGGAACTACCAGATTTTTCCAAAGTGACTGCACCATTTTACATTCCCACCATCAGGGCATGAGGGTTAGTTAGTTTCTCCACATCTTCACCAGCACTTGTTACTGTCTTTTTTATTCTAGCCATCGGAATGGGCGTGATGTGGTATCCCGTTGTGGTTTGATTTGTATTTCCCTCATGACTAAGACATGGAGTGTTTTTCATGTGCCTGTTGACCCTTCGTACATCCTCTTTGGGCTT